AGTCTGTCAGTGTGTGTGTTGCAGTGCCTGCTCCGCTCTACCACAGTGAGTGGAGCTCTTTCTGCGTGTCTCTGGGGTTCTGACTGTGCTGTGTGTCTGTGTGCAGGGTCCCCCCGGTCCGCCCGGGCCCATCGGACCTGTGGGCCAGCCTGGACCTGCCGTGAGTACCGCCTCCGCCTTCGCTCCAGCCACACACCTTTCCTGGCCTCGCCAGCGCGCCCGCCGTCTCTCTCCCGAGCGTCCTCACCGCTCGCCGCGCTGACCGACACTAGAGCTGCCCGTTTCGGACTTCCTGACAGTTCGGGTTCCTGTGTTTGTTTCTGTCTTGACCTTTGACCCCCTCTCTCTCTCCCCCAGGGTGCGGATGGTGAGACAGGCGCCAGGGGTCAGCAGGGGCCGTTCGGGGCGAAGGGAGACGAGGGCCCCCGGGGCTTCCCCGGCCCGCCGGGCCCTATCGGACTGCAGGTCAGAACACGTCTGCCTCCCTGCGCCCTGGTGCTGCAGTCTCGTAGAAGTAGCACTAGGGGGCAGCACTGTCCTCAGTGAGCCACAGCACTGGAAGGACGGAGCCTAGTACCTAGTTTAAAGGTGACCGTAGGAAGGGAGTTTTCCAAGTATTTGTGAAGTTACTGGTGGCTGTTGTTGTTGTTGTTGTTGCTGTGTGCGGCTCGTGCGGGTGTGCTGTCGGCTGGCAGTGTTGACCGTGTCACGGACGCGTGAGTGACTGTCCTCTCTCCTGCTGCCCCTCAGGGTCTGCCTGGCCCCTCGGGAGAGAAGGGAGAGACCGGGGACGTCGGGCCCTTGGTGAGAGATGCCTACCGCGACCGGTGCCACAGTTGGTATCTGTAATATCAGCATCGCCATCGTGATGGCAGGACGCTCACCCTTCTCCCCCCCCTCTCTTTCTCCAGGGTCCCCCCGGGCCCCCAGGACCCCGCGGCCCCGCCGGTCCCAGCGGAGCTGACGTGAGTGCCCACAGGAGCCTCATAACACCCTTATAACAACATTACACCAGTGTAACTGAGGACCCATCCTTACACCAAACACATCAGGCAGGAATGTTATAACACCCTTATAACAACATTACAGCAGTGTAACTGAGGACCCATCCTTACACCAAACACATCAGGCAGGAATGTTATAACACCCTTATAACAACATTACAGCAGTGTAAC